AGTATTGGGTAATCCTGACTTTATTAAATAATCATATGTGAAATATGGCTTAAATATGTTCTTTCTGTGTTCATTATCTAATTTTAAGATGACTTAGAATAAGGTAGGAAGTGACATTTACATGTGAAAATTATTTTTAGTGTAATTCCTGTAGTATGGTCATTCATTCATACTATAGGTTCTGGAATTAGACTGCTGGGTTCAGATCCCACCTTCTTCACTGACTATGTGGCCCTGGGCATGTAACTTGTGCTTGGGTTTCTTTATTTGTAAAAACAGAGCTTATCATAGACTTACTTTAGAGAGAATATATGTGTAGTACTTTATACTTAGTAAATGTTCCATAAATCTCGGCTGTGATAATGATGAAGATGGATTTAAAGAGCTCTTAATTCCTTCTTTATCTCTTCCTTCTTAATCTCTTCCTTCTTAACCAAACCAACTAACCAATTAATCCACTGCAACAATAAAAGTCACTTATGAAATTCAATGTATGCTTATTTGGAAACTGATAGGTACTACGGTTCAAAAAAAAAAAAAGATTTACTAGCGCTGATTTAACTAGCTCATCAGTCCTGTATAATTCTTCCTCATTATTCTTCATTAATTGCTAGTTTATTATGTTACTTTCTATCTGTATAGTTCCTCTCATCTATCGCTTACCTAGAGGATTGTGTCTTAATTATCTAGTAATGTATTCAGTAGCTCTGCTCCCAATCTGTTTTAACTTTGTCTTCTGCATTTCCTCTTCATAACTTTGCCAGTTGTTGTGGTGCTTGTCTGGATGAGAATCAGGAGGCCAACTGTGCAGGAAGTATCTGGCATGGGTCATGGGTCAGAAAAATTAACTGGTTTGCTCCAGAAACAAAGATGAATAGATTAGGTAGATATCCTAGCTCTTGATAAACGGTAGAAAAATTGAGCTTTTAAAGGTAACTGAGATAGGAAGATTGTTACTATTTTCAAAAGAATGCATTGGAGTTCAGAGTAATAAGGTAAGATGACACCAAGAAAATGATGTATTGATGTATGGTCAGTTTGCCCTATAATTGACCCATGTATAAAAGAACACATCAGAATAATAAATGAGTATTTGTCCATTTAACAAATACATTTACAGGATTACTCAAAGGGTAGTCCTCTTTTCCTTTGATTAGTTTTCATTTTAATTTCAGACATTTGTTTCTTCATTTAACTGTGAATATAGCCATGATAAATGGGAATGCTTTACCAAGTAGAGGTTAATGTGTTTGATTCATTTTCAAAGAAGAATGTTAATTCTTATTTGAAATGTCAGTATTAGGAAGAATCATGCATGCAAGAAGTAACAGTCTCTATAGATGTGAAAGAATATGAATATTTGTATTTATGACATGCTAGTTTGTGATCTAAAATAGTCAAGTTTGAAGCTTTTTTTAAATATTATTTATACTTTTAGGTAACAGTTTTAACTAAGTAATACATTGTGTTCAATTACAATAATGGTTATCATTTGGTGAGTATACTGTGTATGGTTTAATTCTCACTCGATTCTGTAAACTGGACTAGACAGATCTTACCTACATTTCGCAGATTAGAATACCGAGAGGTATAATAATTCTTGACAGATCACATAAAGTAGTGGCAGAATTCACATGTGAACTGACTTGATAGTAGAGATCTTAATTCTTATTGTGCCTCACATATTCCTGTGGCACCTATAATAAATAAACTAATCTACCTACCAAGGTATCTCCTCTGGAAATTTGGACTGGAATTCTGATATACTACAACTGTTGAGAACTACTTGCTCTAAAATTGATGATCTTTCTACCATATTTCATCTCTCTCTCTCTCTGTCTGTCTCTCTCTCTCTCTCTCTCTCTCTCTCTCTCTACACACACACACACACACACACACACACACAATCCAGTCTTTAAAATTTATTTTTAAGCTTTATGTTAAGGTAAAATAATAAATTGTATTATGAATTTTCTCTCCTACTCCATAGGACCATTTTGATGGTAGGACACTTTGGGTCTGGCTACAGCTGCATAAAAAAAGAAGAAATCAGTTAACTTTGAGAAAAATCTTTTCTTTAAGCATGATCACAAAATATAAATAATAACTGCTTTCTAGAGTTACTGTGAAGATTAAATGCAGTTATGTATTTAAGGCACAGTATGATACTTTGTAATGGGTTTATTGTTATAAGAAGCTGTATTCATCATTTTAGCTGTGAGTTTAGTGAGTGTATCATATTGTAAAAAAAAAAAAAGACAACTTTGTCTAGAATAGGACCATACATAGTACAAGAGAAAAACCTTTCTTGACTTTCATGTGATTGACTTCCTAGATTTATAGACATTGTCTATGATAAAATACTGATTTATGACTAGGGTAAATTGAGTTTCAAAGCTAGTAGGCTACTTCCTAGAATGCCAAAATCAGTAGAGTTGCTTGTTACTGTTTGCTTTCTAAGGACCAGTTTTGTTTATTTCTAAATCAATTTTTGTCTATTATAGTTAATATTCTGATCAAGTATTTCACTTTAATATGATATAAGGTGAAATATGAATGCAAAAACCTTTTTTAAATAAAAAAGTTTGAGATAACAACTTTGGGAAGATTTCTCAAATGCCACTTTCTTACAATTTCCCATCTTACTCAATATAACGTAACTGTAAGTGATAGGAAATAAAGTAATAAAGACTCTGCATTCATGTTCCATTGCCAGTATCTTTAAAGTTCCACTGAAAAAATTAAACTGAAAATCTTACACTTGAATAGTGCTGCTGTGTTTTACTCAAGAAAAGCAAGTCTGAATACTACTTAATAGATATATGCTCAAAGAAAACATCTTTGGCTAATATCAAAAGATGAGGTGGGCTGGTGATGTAGCTTGGTGGTAGATAACTTGCCTAGCATGTGTTAGGCCCTGGTTTCAATCCCCAGCAGAAAAAAATTAATAACATTGCTGAAAAGATGAGCAATGTTATATATGTTTTGTGATAAAATAATATGTAAGGTAGGTATAATTTTTGTGCTTCTTCACAGTAGCTCACATTTTAAAAATTAGTTATTAATCCCATTCTGGCTAGATAAGAGAGGCTTACGTCTCTTGATTCGTGTAAAATGGGAATTATAAAATATGCTGATTGGTCCCAGAAAGAATAATTTTGTAGAAAAGATTAGAATTAGATTCACTCTGTTGGGAGAAAGGTGAAGGTCTGTCTTGTTAACTTTTTTTTTTGTGGTTCAGAGGTTTGAACTCAGGACCTGTACCTTGAGGTACTCCACTAGCCCTTTCTTTATGTGAGGTTATTTTCGAGATAGGATCTCATGAACTATTTCCCAGGGTTGGTTTCGAACTGTAATCCTCCTGAGCTCTGTCTCCTGAGTAGCTAGGATTACAGGCGTGAGCCTATAATACTGTGGCTCACACCTGTAGCAGGGTATCTTGTTATCTTAAAAAAGGAATGGGTGAATGGAGTCCTAGACATTTTTGTTTCTTTGTCCTATTGGTAAAATTTGGGTAATGTCAGTGCCAGCAATTTGAAAAATTGCTTCTGGAGACGAATTTGAGCTGCTGCTATGGCAACATTCTGCCACCGCCATTACTTCTACTACCAAGGACTGGAGGCATGTGAAGAATGTGGTTGTATGAGTTAAATATACTCAGTCTATAGTTTATAAAATAGGCACTTGTTAGTATAAGGTAGAAAAATATCAATTGAAAATAAAATCACCTAGAAAAATTTCTAGAAGAAAAATTTAAAAACGCTTACAAAACAGGAATTCAGCCTGTGGTACCTTTACTTTTGCATTAAGCAGAAACCTATAGCGTGTATTAGTAGAATCTAGAAATAATTGATTCATCTGGATGTGAGTTTGTACACAGCTATAGTTTTATCAGATCCTATCAAGCATTTTTAATTTGTCTTTTTTATTTTCTATTGGTATTTATTAGCTAATCAAAATAGATTAGAATGACCGTGTTAAAATGATTACCATCTTATTTCAAGTTTATGAATGAAAGTAAAATGTATATAACAGTGCCTGATATGTAGAGAATTCTGTAAATGAATTTTAAAATATGTTTTGTTCTTAGCATACTTACTAAGAGAATAAAGCTGGGGATGTAGCTCAGTGGTAGAGGTAGAGTATGTGCTTAGCATGCCTTAGGTCCTGGGTTTAATGCCCAGCAACACAAACACACACACACACACAAATGGTGAACTCTGGGGACCAGAATGCATATTCCTGTTCCATCTCTGCTACTGCCTAGTTGTTTTACTTGGGGAAAGTTACTTAATTTCTCTGTACTTTAGTTTCTTGTCTGTTTAAATGGGGGGTAATAACATATTCTTTATGGATTGTGAGGGTTAAATGAGTTAATTTATATAACATGTTTACATTAATGCCTGACATATGGAAAAGTTTATGCAAATGTTTGTTGTTACCATCTTTAAATTTGTATTCATCCATATCTATTCCTATTATAACTTATTGAAACATTCATTTTGGTATGTAGTACTTCATTATATTTTTAACTTATTTAAAAATGACACTGTAAGAATGAAAAATGACAGTAAAAAATTGTTTCTAAAAGCAATATTCTAAAATGACATTTGCCTACCTTTCAGATTTGTTTACCAACGAGGGCAAAATGTTGGGGGCTCCCCAGGTCAACTACCTTGTCTCCTCTTTTATTGTAAGAGGAAGAAAACAATTTGAGTGGAAGTTAAGTATATTAACGTGTTTGTTTTTGTATGTTGCTAATTTTAATATTTCATTTTTTTTGTATGGGAACAGTTTTCTTATCTCTTTTAGATCTGTAATCTTCTGATTGTCAGTAGAAACTGTTTATATTGATGGTTAACAAACCTAACTGAATCTCTAACTCAGTAAGTGGTCTGAATTGAATAGACCTTCAGAGTATTTATTAGTTACATAGTTTGTAAGCTTCTCTGATAAAATACTCACACATACTGAAAACTCCTTAATAGAATTGATAACAGCTTTGGTCGTCCAGGAGTAGAATGTTACTGCCAACATGACAGCGGAGCTGCAGTAATCCAGCTCCAGTTCCTGATTAACGAGGTTAGTGAATTGTGTTTCTCTCTCATGCTTCTAGCTGAAATCGAGCCACTACTCTTGCAGATTTCTTGCATGCATTCATATTTAAATATTAGAACGAAAGGTAACTTCTTGAGGGTAAAAGATACTAGTAATTCATTTTAGACACCATCATAGACAGCTGGTTTATGTTTTCTCAAAGATGGTGCATTTAAATTTTATTTCAGGAATATTGAAAGTTATATAGCATAAAAGTCTGTGAGAAAATAGTTTTATAATGAGATTATAAATAACAGAATATACTTTCATGAATTTCATCAAATACAGCCTTGAAACCAGCTTGAGGTTACTGCCTCAAGTTGTGTCACTTGTGGGTTGAAGTCACCAATGATGCCTTTCTTTTTTGCTAAGAATATGAAGTATGGAAGGAGCTAGAGGAAACAGCATTGTATTAGCACAGGAAAACACTGTGCTTGCAGATTTTCAAAAATACATAAACACCTCTGAGAGTAAATGTTTATTTCAAGTAGCGACAGGCAAGGAAAGCTGGTCATGGAAGGAAAGGAGAGAAATTACTCACAAAAAGGCTCGGAATGTGGACATTTTGTGGACATTCTTTTGCCCCCAAATCCTTAGAATCCGTGGAATAAATTCCTAAATGTATATGAGAGAAAATAAATTACTGAATACCTCTGGCTCTTAATAAATCCTCACACCAGGATTTAAAAGAGGTGCCATTAATATGAAATGGTAAAGATTGACAATATAAAAAAATCAAAACTGAGATCCAAATGATTTGTGATTGTATAGGCTTTTTAGGGTTGAGTGATAGAAATAAGAGGATGCTTTCTAGGGAAAAAGAAAGTTTGGACTTTGTGTATTTTTGCTTTCCAGTTATTATGCTGTGCTAAAGAAGCTGCATAAGAATTTTACCGAACTTAGATCCTCTTTTGTAAATCTTATCTTGACAGCTGTTTTCATTATACTGAAGAGAAGAGAAACTGTTTTAAAAGGGGGAGAATTTTAATATTTCTCATAATAACATAAAGGATTGGGATTGGAAATCTTTTTTGAAATCAGTACAGATCTTCACACTATAAGTACTTGTCTTCTTATTCTGAGTAGAGATGAAGGGTACCTGACTCACTCAAGGAAGAACACTTGGATGTCTTAATAAATCAACTCTTAATCTAGAGATTCTTAAGCTTATTCACACATGATAAGCACCTCTGGAGATTTTTTTAAATGCACCCGTGTAGGTCCTTGCTCTGAAAATTCTGATTTTTTGAGTTTGGTAAGATGAGCCACCTGGATGATTCTCAATACTGCAGGTCATTTTCTTCCTCAAAAATAGTAGTACCAGATGTTTTAACTTTCTGAATTTGTCGGATTTCTCAGCCACTCAGACATTGGAGTTACGGTGTGCTAAATGCTGTCTTTGTTCTCTGTACCTTTTTAGAAGCTGAAGTATATCTAGGTATTGTACTCTCATAAGGATTTGTCTTAAAACAAATCAAATAAAGTTTATTTCATGTCATATTTTGCTGTTAATCAAGGAAGAATATACAAAATTGATAAAGTAATTTATGGCCTGATCTCTAATTTTAAATTGTTATCTCAACCATACTGTCCCACTAGCTTCTAGTATACTTTTCATTTATAAGATTATATTTAAAATTTTTAGAAGTCAAAGCATTAATTTATATAACATGTAATACACTCTTCTACATCTGCTGTTTAGAATTTGGGTGAGGCAAGTGTTTCTTAGAACTAAATCTGTTGGCAGAAACTTGAAACTTGAGGAGATATTTGGGCAACTGTTTAGACAAACAGATGTTTTTAAAAAATACCATGTGTAAAAATATCTTTATTTCCAAGGGAGCGCTTGTGAGTGCCTTGGCTGATGACACCTTACACTTGTGGAATTTACGTCAAAAAAGGCCTGCTGTACTACATTCACTCAAATTTTGCAGAGAAAGGTAAGAATGCTCTCAGTTTTTCCCTGTTTATAGGGTATTTGCTATTCTGTTTTAATGTATTTTCTTGAATTTTATGTTTCAATTGTTTTGTGATTGGCTTCATATATAATCTAAAAAATAATTTTAAAATGTCAAAGGATAAGCTGGGCATTGGTGGCTGACACCTATAATCCCAACTCCTCGGGAGGCAGAGATCTCTTTTTTGTTGTCAATCTTTTGTTGTTCTTTGTCTTGTTTCAGAGGCTAAGTCATCTAAGTGATTTTGGTTGAGTCATGCTTTCTCCTGAAAGGGCAGAAGTGAAGGACAAGTTAATGGGAGGTGGGGTGGGATAGGGAAGAATGGTAAGCAAAAATTTAGGATTCAGTTGTTTTCCTCCTGCTGGGAACCACATACATTTCTTTTGGTTTTTTCAGAAATCACAGTCTGTGTATAAGATCGGAAATCTCCATACAGTAAACTTTTTTGCATAAAAGGGAAACCATTGCATAAACTGAAACCTGTTTCATTTAACAACATATCTGATAGATTAATTGATAATAGCATTTAAATCTTCCTTAGTTATTTTCACAACTAAATGCTGTTGTGTTTTATGGAAGATCTGCAATGCAGATCTTCACCAGTGGACATTGAGATCATTTTCAGCCTGCTGTTCACTTTGCTCTACTGTGACATATTATGCACATGTACAGATATATCTACAAGATAAATTTGAAGAAGTGGAATAGTTTGGGTAAATAGATCTCTTCTAATATGATTTGTGAACTTTGGGTATCAGTTGGAAAGGCCCTTTGTACTCCACTTTTATGAAATGTCTTTCATGTGTTGTTTATGTTTGGCAGTACTGGGGTTTGAACTCAGGGCCTGTGCTTACTAGCCAGGCACTCTACTTTGTACCATGCCTCCAACCCTTTTTATCTTGTTTTATGTTATTTTTTAGATAGGGTTTCACACTTTTTGCCTGGGGCTGGCCTTATCCTCCTGCCTATGCCTCCCATGTAGCTGGAATTTCAGGCATGTATCACCATGCCCTGCTTGTTTATTGAGATGGGATCTTGCAAACTTTGTGCCTTTGGCTGATCTCAAACTATGCTTCTCCTTATCTCTACCTCCTGAATTCCTACAGATGTGAGCCACTATGTCCAGTCCTCAGATATGTTCTTATAGAACTCTTAAGTTTTTATACTTCACCTTTTTGTTTTGTTTTAGTTGTACTAAGGTTTGAACTCAGGGTTTGAACACTTGCTAGGCTGGTGCTCTACCACTCAAGCCACACCTTCGACCTGTTTTGTTTTAGTTATTTTTGCTATAGGGTCTCATGTTTTTACCTAGGCTGGCCTTAACCACAGTCCTCCTATTTATGCTCTCAGCATAGCTAGCTGGGACTAGTACAGACAGGCATGTACTATTAGTTGAGCATAGGGTCTCACTAACTGTTTGCCCAGGCTGGTCTCAAAATTCCATCCCCCTGATCTCTACTTCCCTGGGAGCTGGGATTGCAAGCATGATCTGCCATGCCCACTTATATTTCTTCTTTGAGTCATATGGAACTTATTTTGGCATGAAATATGTGTAAGGATATAGTCTCATCTCCCCTATAGCTTATAAGGCATATTTTATTGTGTGTGTGTGTGTGTGTGTGTCATATTGATGTAGTCATTGGCCTCTAAACTAAGCAAGCTAACAAGGCTTCTGGAAGTGTAGTAGTTCAGACTTTTTCCAGCCAGTTCCAGGCCTGTCTGGTTATATGGGCCTGGATGAGGACTGAGACAAGACTGGCTGGCAGTCAGTAGCAATTTGTTGTTGGTCTATATTTTGTCTGGGAAGATAAGTCATCTAAGTGGCTTTAGTTTAATAGTGTTTCTACTTCTTCCAGACAGGCAGAAGAGAAGACATTATTAGTAGAGAAGTGGGGGATGGGGAAGAGGCATAAGCAGAAGTCAGGATTCAGTTACTTTCCACCTCAGTTGAGAGGGAATGAGGTCTGCCTCTCAGCTTCTGGGCAGTCTGTCAGTGGTATCTCACGGAGAGCTCTGTATCGGTCTCAGTTGTCGTACAGTATGTTTTGTGAGATAGACTTCTGGTCTCAGTACATACCCTCTCAACAGGATCATTCCACCTGCTGGAAATGGAACTGGAGATTCAGCACAGTGGTTATTAAACCAGTGTGCTCTTACCCCCGTTCCCAGGGCATTTCGCAATGTTTAGAGACATTTTCCATTGTCACAGGTGGGCATGGGGGTACTGTTGGTATATAATAGGAAAAGGCTGGAGATTCCTCTACATGTGTGACAGTGCACAGAATGGGGCTCACAACAAACATTTATCTGGTCCAAAATATTAGTAGCATCAAAGTTAAAAAACCCCAAGCCCTAGCATATCAAAATGATATTATTTGGCTAACCTAGTGATATTTTAAATCACCATTCACTAGAGAGATTCTGCCAGAAGCTAGGATTTCAACAAAAGGGTATCTCTGATGCTTTATTTATTAGTGCATGTCCATATTTCTCACTGGGCATAGCAGTTCACAAGCACAATTACTATAAGTTATGGTAAATATTCATGGGGAAACCATCAAATTTGAAGAAGTCCCAGAATTAGGATCTGACTGTAGTCAGATATGAAGTGTGCCTCTTCAATAGTATCTCTAAGGATGGACTCCAAGAAATTGTGATAAACATTGATGGGGAGTGGTAAGTCAGTCTATAAGGTACCTTGGCAAACAAAAGGCACCTTTGTGTGAAGTGCAGATACGGGCTACTTTAGTGGATAAGGCCTTACATTGTTCACCACTTCCTTCCTTGATTGGGTACTGTCATTCCAGGCACTGCTCACAGAATTGTATGCAGTAGCCTCAAAAGTTATAAATGAAAAGAACTGATTTGTTTTTTCCCCAGTTTTGAGTCCTATAACATGTTTACCCATTTGCCAGTCAAAGCTATTTCAACATATTCAAAGTTCAGCTCCCCTTTTGGAGCTGTGCAGAGTGGGTGGGGACAGAGACCAGACCTGGCACGAGGCCAGTAGCAGTTTGCTGTCTGAAGATATGTTAGGTACATATCTTTTTTTTTTTTTTTTTGGCAGCACTAGGGTTTGAACTCAGGGCCTCCCACTTGCAAGGCAGGCACTGTACCACTTGAGCCACTCCTCCAGTCCCTGAAGATAAGTTAGGGCAGTAGTAAACGAGCTGCAGAAGGAGCGAGTGGTTCTTGAATTAATCGTCTGGGTGAAGTTCTTTAGGATTGTTACACACTTGTGTGGTAGTGGTAGACCTTAAAATGCTGAGGAATGGGCCCCGGTGCTTAATGGACAAACCTTGTTACAGTTTCTCAGGATGGAAGATTTCTTCAAATGACTGAAAGGATAAAAGTGGCACTGGGAACCTGCCCACTGCAGCAGTATTTGTTCTTCATGCAGCCTGAGCCCTGTGGCATTTAGGACTTGTGGAATGCTCTGAGGGCTACATCCTCATGGAAGCCTTTTGTGCACAAGCTTTCCTTGTCAGGAGAAGGGACAGATTCTTCATTCCCTGCCCACTCTTCTATCCTTAATGTGTGGGAAGCCATCCTTTTCCTTATACCAGTCCTTTGCATTCAGTGTTTATATTCTGCATCAGTTAGGAGGTAGTCTGGGCTGGGCTGTGAGCTCAAGGACTTAATGGAGGAATTTATTTTTTATTTCCTCTATGTATCCTTGTGGGTTTGCTCAAACACTGTTCATTTTTGTCTGGGCAAAGGCCCCAGAATCTTCAGAGAGGAATGCATAGTCTTTACAATATTGCCAGACTCTGAAGTTCGGGGAAGAAGAGAATGTGCTGAAACATGCGTTGACTCTTACAGCCTCTTCCTGGAAGCGACACACCTCTTCTACTCTTATTTCAAGAGCCAGAGCATAGCACATGGCCACCCCTAATTCCAGTGATAAACCCAGGAAAAGGGAAGTCTGGTATATTTGCAAAATGTTGTAGTGACTGCCACACTTAATTGTTTTTACTTCTGACATAGAAGTACAGGAAACTATAGCTGAGTTAGTTTCCCCTCATTCTTACTTGAATTTGGACTTAGTTAAATTGCTGTGTCACTTTTATGCCATTTGCATTTTTATTTCTGAAAACTAAGAAAGGATGAAAAAAATAAGAAAAGTTTATAAAAAGCTATTTCATAAGATTTTAAACAATTGTAACTTGAGCATTTTACACATTCTTATTTTCATTAGTTAGATTTTATTTTAGTACAAATTTCTGTAGCTATATTAGAAATTATGTTTCCGTATTTTTAAATAGGATCCTTGCAGATGTAAGAGTTGTTCTAGTTTTAATTATGTCAAAATATGTACAAATCTTACCATCTTAATTTTATTTATACAGTTTAGTAGTGTTAAATTTAGGCACATTATTGTGCAGTCCTGCAGTGTGGATACATTTTGATAGAACTTGAGCAAGTTACTTTGCTGCTTTTGAGTTGATTTTCCATTTTATAAAAAATTGTCCTGTAAGACTTACAATCTTAATTATTTCATTTCTCTTAAATGTCAAATAACTTTATCCACCTCTCCTTGTTTACTCTGTAGATAATTATAGAAAGACTGATAGGCAGTTTGGTCCTTATTACTGAGATATATTTGACAGCATGAACTAGACAGGCCTTTTTTTTAGGATCTTGGTCAAAGCTAAGACAAGTTGAGCTTCCCAGATGCCCAATAAAATGACATTTGTCCATACTAAATAAATATGTATTTTAATATCCCTAGAATGATTTTGAGTTGAGGGCAAACACAAAGTTAGCTTCCAGAACAGTGAGAGAGAATAGATTTATGCTGTTTTAAGCTGCTCCATTTGTGATAATTTGTTATGATTGCCCTAGGAAACTAATATGTCCTTTATCTGGTAGCTGTAGAATATGGTAACTTGATGTACTTACTTTGCTTTTTGCATTTTGTTTTCTCCTTTAAAGGACATTTAATTAGGAAGAAGTCAGGTGATAATAAGTCACCTGATAAA